CCTTCTCCTTGATTCCCCACTCCCACCCCAACACACCTAGGTGCGTAATGAAATAACAGATCCCAAACCTGAGCATCAGTCATGCCTGAGCCCAAATCAGTGGTTGGCCCCTCACTAGCTCTGGCAGTCACTGCTCCGAGATCAGCTCTCTCAAGTGTAAAATGAGGATAATAACTACCTCCTTGCAGTTATTACCTTTTCCCACAGCCACCCAAAATGTTGAGTAGTCTGGAGGTTTTTTTAAATTTAATCATTATTTCTTAATGGTATTTAAGGGCAATGGCTTATATTAACCAAAGTTTCCATTCTTAAATTCACAGGTGGAAGATCGAGATTATAAAACAGAGAAACAAATGAATTTCAAAAAGGAAAGGATGAAGTAATACAAAGTTTTTTCTAGATCCTCAGTAGCAGCAGTTTCGACCATTTTGCAAGTCAGAGACTTGTGCTAATGCAAACTGGGTCAGGCTCAGTGACTAAAGAAATTATGACAAGGAAAAAAATCTTATGTCTACCCAGCAACCTCAATTTCTATCTAATGTATTCTTCTCTTTGTAGAATACTAGCTAAAACAAGAGAGGAGATCAACACTAAGGAAATTTTGTCATAGGGTGGAAAGGCAAGGCTTCCAAATATCTCATAGCGTTCCCACCTTTAAGTGTTATTATCTGGACGTTATACTAACCATAACACATTAAGGACTTCACAGGCCTAGGAGCTAACATTTCAAAGGGAAACAAAAATGCCCAACTCCTTAATAAATCTTTGGGGCAATTTTGTCCCAAAAATGTAGCTTCTGGCCTAAAAGTAACTAAAAATCTAGTTCTTTCCAAATTTGGTCATCTTTCTCCTAAATAACAAGGTCTCTCTCCTCTTATTTTAATCTATCTCACCATTAAATTCTAAGGCTTCCTTATTTCCTAGCAAGTTGACACACTTACTCTAGTATTTACTCTGATCTCACAGTATTGAATTTGAACACAGAAACCTAATGTTCCCCAGGATGGGCCTGCTACTCAATTCCTGAAAGTAACAGGTTAGAAGAATAAAGGTAATGCTAGTGATTACACAACCGTACACATCTCAAAGTTAGACACCTGGACTATCTAGGTCCCATCCATAGTATGTTTCAGAGTTAACATTGTCCCAAAAAGCCATGTTACATAAAAAATGGCTTAGTTTCTTACCAAGAATGTCATCCTTTTTTTTTTTTTTTTTTTGGTCTTTTTCATTTTTTTTATCAGTACCAGGGATCAAACTCACGACTGCCTGCTTGCAAGGCAGGCGCTTATGCTGCTGAGCTAAATACCCAGCCCCAAGAATGTCATCCCAACAATGACCTCAACTGTAGAAGAACCATTAGATGATTACTATTTTCCATTATATTTAAGTGAAATATTTGATGACTTAGAACACCATTTCTGCTACTAATAACCAAAAATCACTACATGCAGGTCACAGCATCCCCAAAGCTCACATCTTTCTTAAAAATTAGAATAATTTAAAAATATACTGATAACACTGCTACATGGAGGTACTGCTACTGGGAAACATTTAAGTAACTTATTTTAGGGTCTATAGTGACCTAGTTGCTGAGTCAAGGCCTAGAAACAAGGTTTCCTGGTTCCCAGGCAGCAGGCATAATGGAAATAGCCACGGACTTTTCAGAGTTGACTTTGAATCTCAGCTCCGTTTTTTACTGGTTCATGTGTGAACTTGGAACAGTACTTTGTGACCTTCAGTCTGTACATCTGTAAAACAGGCATTCCAACTATCGACTAACAGAATTGTTTGGAAGACTATGCAAAATATCTACCACCTAGCAAAATTACTGGTAACAGAGTAGGCAACTCAACAATATTAGTTCCGTTTCTTGGTCTCACATTACTTAAGACGTAAAGAAAAAAAAGTAATTATCAAACTGTATTATTACTCGTTGATCAACAATGAACCTACTGGCTGTTTGGTTCACACTCTCTCCATCCCACTTGTTCAATTTCTTAACTTTAGTAACTATATTTAGAAAAGTGGCTTAATTTTAGAAACCTGGAAAATTCTTCCGAGTAAATTGAGCAAAGCCTTAATCTGCCCCAAGGGGAATTCTGAGCTAAACAATTATTTCTAACAAGAGAAGAATTTTCTATGGGGGTTATTCAATTTAACGGCACAAACGCCACCAAAGCTGCACTCAAAGTGACAGCAATGTGGAACATACTGTACAGATTCTCTGAAAGGAAATATCCTCCTAAAATCCAAACCCTCCTCTCCTCTCTAATGTGGGGTAGTAAAATCTTTCTAGGTGATCTGAATTCTTCCGGGCTCTGACACTAGTCCAGTTCCTTAAAACAGAACCACCGCAGCAGCTGGGGGAGGGGTCAAAATACCCCCAAAAGGCAAGGGAGGTCCACACAGTATTTTCTTCTCAATCAATAGATTCACCAGTAGGCGCTCAGAAACACAATCCGTTCCCCAAGGTCATTCAAGTCAGTGAAGGTGCAACGGAGAAATCCGCAAGCAGTCTTTGGCCTTCTGCAAATAACACTGCAGAGATTTTTTTTTTTTTTTTTTTGAGGTGCCTCCTCTTTTTCCCTCTCCCCCCTTCAAGTGTGAGCACTGGCCTCGGCATTTCCGAAGCAAGCCACAACAAGCTCTGCAGTGTTAGGAAAGGGGCTGACGCGATGAAGAAACAGATGCTCCAAAGCAACATGGTCTTTCTCGGCTCGCAGAGCCTCCTCCAAGGTAATTAGCACAAACCGCAGGCACCTCAGAGAGGTCTCCACCGGGCAACGGAGCCCAGGCCCGGCCGCCCCGGGACGCCGGCTTGCCCGCACGCAGCCTCGCAGCCGGAGGCCAGCGGCCCCAGACCGCGCGCTTCATTCCTGCGCTCAGGGCAGCCATGGTTCCCTCCCCGCCGGGCGGCGGGCGGGGGTGCGCAGGGAGGCGGGCAGCGCGCTGCGGAAAGTTCACCGCGACGGCGGCCCGGCTCGCCCGCGTCCCCCTGCAGATTCCACCATTAATTAGTCCTAAGGACTGTCTACTGGCAACTTAAACAAAGCGAATGCCTCAAATTCCTTCCCGGCCCGGCGGCCTGGCCGCGAGACCAGCAGCGCCTGGGACGCGGGCGGGCGGCCGACAGCTGGGGCGGCGGGACCCCTCCCGGCCGCTCGCGCCCCCGCGCCCGCACCGGCCCCGCACGCCGGCCGCCGCCGCCCGCCCGCCCGGGCTCCCGGCTCTTCCTGTCTGATCACTTCCTTCCTCCCGGTGCCCGCGGGCCCCGCGCAGCCCCCTCCCCGCGGCCCGGCCCCGACCCGCGCCCCGCCCCCACGGGCCCGCGCCCGTGCCCGCCCCCGGAGCCCGAACTCGACCCTAAGCTCCTCCGGCCCCCAAAAACGTCCCCTTCGCGCCTCTGCCCCAAACACTTCTCCTCAGGTTCTCGCTCCCACCAAGAAGTCTCCTCAGATCCTTCCCTCCCCCTCCAGAGGAAAATCTCAGAACCTCTTCCTTCAACTCCCAAAACATTTTCAAGGTCTCGCCCCCAAAAGATCTCCCCTCCCCAGCTCGTCCTCCACCAGCCTCCCAAACTCTCCTCCGCCCCACACCCCCATTCCTCCGCGGGTGCGCCCGCCGGTTCTGCCCCTCCGCTCTGGGTCCCCTGACCCTTCCGCAGCCCGGACGACCTCGGCGGATGCCCTCCTCGCCCTGCGCCCGCCCTAGCCCCCGCACCGCATTCCCGCCGCCTCCCCCCGGACCCCTCACCTCAGCGGCCCTGGCCCGCGCTCCCGCCAGCCCAGGGCTCCGGCGCTGGGCTCCCAGCAGCCGGCGCCTCCTCCGGCTCCCCGGGACTGACAATGAGGGGCGGGGCCATGAGTGACGTCGACGTCCTGAAGGGCGTGGTTTGCAGCAAGAGGCGGGGCTTCTTGCCTGGTCCCGCCCCCTACGTCCTCTCCCCTTTCCACCTAGCCTTGTGCTGTATTTGAACTGTTACCGAGTTCAAGGATCAGGGCCTGTAGTAGACTCCCTGGGAACTGGACAAGGAAGGTAGGACGTCCTGCTTTCAGGAGGGGCACTCTCAGAGGGTTTATGAGGATTAAATAAGATAATCCATGGAAAGTGTTTAGCCCAGAGCCTGGTACAGAGTAATCACTCAAAAAATACTACAGTACTTCTGTTATTCGGCAAATGTCAATTTGGACTCAGAAGGCCTGGGCTCCAGGCTGGAGGGGTGGCGCCTGCCTGTAATCCTAGTACTGGAGAAGCTAAGGCAAAAGAATTCCAAGTCTGAGGTCAGCCTAAGCTACAAAGCAGGACCCTCAAAAAAGTAAAAACAAAAAAGCATGCGTTCCAGTTCCTGGCTCTGCTACTAACTCATGCTAGAAAAGCCTTTTCCCATCTATGTTCTGCATTTGCATTTCTGTAAAATGGGAAGAGGCAATGACCACCAGATGATCTCAGAAATCCTTCCAGTGACTCTAGACACACTCCCTTGTGGTTCTGCTATATCCAAACTACTCAGGGTCGGGCTGGAGGGTGGAGGGTTTAGCTCAGTGGCATAAGTGCCTGCTTGGCAAACACAAGGTTGTGAGTTTGATCCCTAGTACAAAAAAAAAATCATCAGACTACTTAAGAACCAGAGAAGAGTATTGAACACATCCACCTGAATACAGGCCACAGCCAGAGACACTTTCTAGACACAGATGCCTCCCACACGCTGGCACCCAGCAGCACCCACAAGCTGGGACACAGATGCACCAAGGACGGCTTCCTCTCTGACTGCAGCAGCATGGTGAGTCTGTTGAGACATCTCTTGTGTAAGCTCTTTATTGCCAGTGGAATAAAGGCCAAAGCCCTGGCCTGAGATGATCACACACACATACATGTCTTTTCCCATTCTCATTCTCTCTCGTTTATACAAACTGCCCTTAGCACACCCACTGCTTTCCCACATCTGCCTTTTGCTCATGCTCTTCCCTGTTGTCATCTCATCACATAAGCCCTCCTACCTTCCTCTGGCCAGGAGCCACTCCTCCATGCTCTGAATACCCAGGGCATTGAGCTGAATGCTCCTGTGGGCATGAACACAGTACAACTTCTTCTTCTTCTTCTTCTTTTTTTTTTTTTTTTTCATTTTTATCGGTACCGGGGATCGAACTCATGACCGCCTGCTTGCAAGGCAGGTGCTTATGCCGCTGAGCTAAACCCCCAGCCCCCACATTACAACTTCTATGAAATCAACTTCTTCAGTTTGTTTCTTCGCTCTTGCTGGAGGTGAGAAGCCACACATACTTGTAGAGCTCAAGAACTGATGTCAGAAAACTCTGGGGTCATACACCCATGTTCTGGTTCCCATGAGCTCTCAGAACCTCAGTCTCCTGTCTGTAAAATGGGGCTGATAATACAGTCTTTGTGGGGTTTGTTTTAAAATTACATGTGCTACTGCGTGGAAAAATACAGTATTCCAAAATTATGTGGTTGATAGTCTTATTTTCAATATTATTACTGTCATCAATATTTCCTGCCCTGATAACCACATGGCAACCTTGTGGTAATCTACCCAATCATTTCATGTTGGAGAATTTTAAAGGCCTGGGATAGGAAGAGGCTTGCTGAAAGCGGCTCTGCAAAATGCTGCCACTGGAACAGGAACCAGCAGATCCCAAGTGGATTCCGTAGTAATCTGAGGCTGCAGACCATCTCTGACAAGCAGCACCCCTCCAGGTTGGGGAGGGCTGGGAGCTCCGCCTGCAAGCTCTTTGCGGCATAGCTGACCCGGTTCTGCCTCCTATGTCTCTCCTCTCACGTTTCTCAGGGAGAGATGGAGCTGAGTGAAACTGCCCTTGGCATCTCCACAGTCCTCCAGAAGTGCTGCAGCAAAACACTGGGCGTTTCCAGAGCCGGCCTGTGGGAAGAGGGGAAGGGCTTTGCAGTTCTGATTAATTTCCTGTGCTGCGGACAGGCAAATAGCTGTCCTGAAATGCCTGGGCTAGTCCTCAAGGGCCCCTAACAAATTGCAGCTTATTTTTAGAATGGGAGATTCAAAAATGCTACTTCCCATGAAAAGTAAGCATGGCCACAGTATTGCTGCTAGCACAGAAAGGGCCTTTCCTGAGCCCGTTCTGTGTGCTGACACTGATGCCAAGAATTGCAAACCCTAGGCAGGCGGAATCCAGCACACAGAGGGATCTGCAGGCAGAACTTTCTCTGGACGTATGACTTCATCAACCGCTTATACATCCATTCACGGCAAAACTTTCACTCAGGACAGAGGACTCGGATTCTAGCTCCACCGCTGGGCCAACTGTGTAACCTTGAGCTTTCGAAGTCTCTGCACCTCAGTTTCTCATCTGCAAAATGGAACTGATAATACTTATCTTGCACAGTGGCTACCAAGATCAAAAATGGAATGAAATAATACATGGGAGAGCTTAGTTCAGAGCCTCACACCCAGTTTAGGCTAGGAAATGGGGGTTACTGTTACAGATTCACATGTCCTCCCAGTGCTCCCCCATGTGCTGGCCTCTGGGCTGGAAACATAAGAGTCCTGGCCTCTCTCAGTGAAAAGAACCCAGTAAATTTGCATGAATGATCAAGGAAAAGTTATCTATGAGGCTTCATTAAATGGAAAGAAGAATAAATGGCAGAATTACAGGTTATTAGGGTCTCATTGTTATAATTTACAATGTATACTCGATACATAAAAAATAAGAATATAAAGAGCTAGATGAGAACTTTTACCTTTTGCTTTCCTTCTGCTTTGCTTTTCTCTGTGTGAGTACAGTATGAACTTTCAAAAAAGATTTTACTAGAGAGCTGGGTGTGGTGGTGCATGCCTACAATTCCAGCACTCTGGGAGGCTGAGGCAGAAGGATCACAGTTCAGCCTCGCCTGGACAACTCAGTGACTTAGCAAGACTAATTCCAAATAAAAAATAAAAGAGAGAGAGAGCTGGGGATGTAGCTCAGTGCAAAGGCCCTCAGTTTAATCTCCAGTACCATAAAATAAAATAATAAAAGCATAAAGGGCTGGGAATACAGCTCAGTGAAACAGGGCCTACCTAGTATGTAGAAGGCTCTGTGTTTGATCCCTAGTGCTACCAAAAAATAAAATACTTTTTAAAAATAAAACTAAAAAAGGCTGGGGATGTAACTCCATGACAGTGTGCTTGCCTAACATGCGACAAGGCCCCGATTCAATCCCTGGTAAGAGAAGGGGGTTTAAATAGCTTTACTAGATGCTAACAGGGAGAAAAGGGGATAAAAATACAGACATGGGCGTATCAGCAGAGGGCATCTGTGCCAAGTGGGCACACTGCAATATGATGTTCACAGGCCCCATTGAATCTTTGTGTGATTCAAGAAAAAGACTCTGAGAACAGAACCTTCTCCCCAGGACTCATGGTCCTATCAACTGTTCATTCACTCACTCATAGCAAAAGGTTTGGCATAGGATAAACTGTGATTCAAATCCCAGCAGCTGGGGGTGTAGCTCAGGGGTAGACTGTGTGCTTGGCAGACACTAGGCCCTGGGTTTAATACCCAGCCTCAAAAAAAAAAAAAAAAAAAAAGGATTCAAATCCCAGGTACATCATGTACCAGCTGGCAATCTTCTTTACTGCCAATTCTAATATTAATCTCCTCTGGAAACACATACACTCCCAGAAGGGATCTGGGCATCCCTTCACCCAGCCAAAGTGACACATGAAATTAACCACCATGCAGTCCCATGCTTCTCCTTCCCCTCCCAAAGAATAACAATATGTCAGCATCTTGTGTCTACTGTGCCTAAACTTGCTTTCATTTTCCTCCATGCTACTTTTCTGTAATTTAATTTTTTTTTTACAAGCAGCACATGTTACTTTGTCATCAGGAAAAGGGTAGTAAAAGCACATATAAAAAAGAATGGTAACCGAGTTAAGGTTGGTTCACTTTTGTTGGATTGCAAACACTTACAACACAATAAGGTGCAGACCGTGTAGCAGAGGAATCTCAGAGGAATCAAAGAGGGAGAAGACATTAAAAAAATAATAGGGGCTGGGGATTTAGCTCAGCGGCATAAGCACCTGCCTTGCAAGCAGGTGGTCGTGAGTGAGTTCCATCCCCGGTACCGATAAAAAGGAAAAAGACAAATAATAATAATAATAATAATATTAAAAAATAATAATAATAATAATAATAAAGTACCCTCCACTCACCTCCTATTCCCCAAATGGCATGATTTGAAGTCCCCTCACATCTCAGGATACCCACAACTACCTGTATCCCATTCATTCATTCCACAAACATTTCTGGGTTCTCTACCACACACCAAGAATGGTTCTGAGTGCCTCAGGTCTACTGTTTCATGGAGGCTGCAGCAGGTGGGCTCATTATTGCTATCGTGAAGATTTGTAATACGAGGCTCAGAGAGGTAACTAGGCCAAAGTCATGCATTGAGTAAGTGCCAGACCAGAACCCGTGCAACACCAAAGCCCAAATCTTAGAGAAAGTCAAGATCTGTGCTAAGGATCAGGGGCTGTTCTTGGTCAGATGGCCTCGGGCAAGTCACTGATCTTTTCTGGGCAGCAGTTTCCCCACCTCTGAGGATAAGGGCCTATGTAGATGTTTCTTGCAAATTAAGTGCTTTTTGATTGTAACACATAATAGGGAGGCTATTATCTCAGCTCTTCACAAATAGGATCTCTCATTCATCTGCGGGTCTCTTGGTATTCTCTCCACCAGTGTTTATTTCCAGTACTAATCACCTTCCATTAGCGCACCGAGGACCACTAACCCTTTCATTCCCCTGCTAGCCTCGCATGCATCTTGTATTCATTCCGTAACAAATGGCCGCATGCCTCACACGTGGGGAATGCTACACAGATGGTCATACAACAAAGATCCCTGCCTCACTGGACTGTGGGAGGGACAGGGCAACATAACAATTACTAAGTAACAGATTCACTAAATGCCACCAGGATCAAAGCAGGGGCAGAGAGGGATTGAGGGGTGCAGAGCGGGGACCTAACTGAATCTAGGATACAAGGGAAAGCTTCCCAGAGGAAGTGCCGTAGAGGATCAGAGAAGTTAAGGAATCTGCTCAAGGTCACACAGGCAAAAGCAAGGATCTCAGTCCAACAATAACCTGACTCCAAAGACCCCGCTCTACTACAGTACTGTTACCTCCTTCGCTCTCCTTGGAAAACAGCAAGGTGAGAATAGCCCGCCTCCCCGCCCCGTTCTGGAGGTGGCCCAAGTGCCTGAAACCCCCCACCTCTTCCCAACCTCCAAAGAGCCTGGAGCAGAACCACAAATTGAAGGCAGGCGCTTTAAAATACAAGACCCCAGACAGAGTGCCAGCCCCCAGTGCACTAGCCGTGACCTTGGGCCGCTCACCTACAAAGCCCGAGGCCTCCGCATCTGGCCTCCCCGGAGGGCGCAGCACGCCCCGCCCTCCCACCTCCCCGGCCCCGCCCAGCCCCGGCCCCGCCCCTCCCCGGCCCCGCCCCTCCCGGCCCCGCGGGGGCGCCTGCAGCACGCACGCCGCTCCGCGCAGCGCTCCGGAGCCAGCCGTGCGGCCGCCAGGGTGCGGTGCGGCCGCCGCAGTGACAGCTCCGCGTCGCCCGGGCCGGCGCTCCCGCCTTCCCCACCCACCGGGCAGGGCGTTCCCGCCAGCCGGCTTCCTGCTGCCTGCCGAAGGCCGGGAGGAGGGAAGGCGCGGAGGGGCCCGGGCCTGGCAGGCCTGGTTCCTGGCTTTCTCTGCGCGTTTCCTGAGCGGGACGCGCCGGGGGATGGGACCCAGCAAACCTCCTTCCCGGAGCGCAGCCAGGAAGCCGCGTCCTTGTGAACCGGGCGCCTCCTCTGTGCCGGGAACGGTGTGAAGGCCGTGCGCAATCTCTGGGTCCCTACAGCGGGGTGAGGCCACCCCTAACCCCACGAGGGGCCCAGACCAAATGGCAGGCTTCAGACCCCACGAGACATGAGATTCCAACCCCGTGATGTAAGTCTATTAACTCCATCCCTCGGAGGACTAAACTGAGGCTTTGCAGAACAGAAGGGACTTACCCGAAGCCATGGTGAAAATATAACTACTAATAAAAAAGTGTGCTTGTGACACTCCGGTCCTGGGCTGCAGAGGTTCTACGTGTATCTATGTCTGAGTCCTCCTAACGTAGGAAGATAAATACTGTCCCTGTTTTATAACTGAAGAAATCCAGGACCAGAGAGGCCAAGCGGCTTCTCCAACATCACACAGCCACAAAGTAAGACAGCTGGCAATGTTCTCCAGTCTCCTGTTTCCAAAGCCCAAGCCATTCCACCACCCTGCCTCCTTGTGACAGTTGAGTAACCCCAGAACCAAAGCCTTGCCTCACTTGTTTCTAGGTCTCCGAATGCCCACCCCGAAACTGGACAAGGGGTGTCCTCATGATGACTATGGAACCTAGCTCAGAGGCTCCAACTTAGAAAGACTATTAAGGGGCGTTTGCCTGAGCTCTAGGATCTTCAGTCTGCTCCTCTGCGTAAATACATGTAGTTTAAACTGTAGATGTTTGTGTGTGTGTGTGTGCACGCGTGTGTGTACTGGAGATTGAACTCAGAGGCTCATACAGGCTAGACCAGGGCTCTACCTCTGCACTACACCCCAATTTTATTTTCTTTAATTTTATTTTATTTTGAGACAGGGTCCCACTAAGTAGCCCAGGCAAGCATCAAACTAGTGATCCTCCTGCTTCAGCCTCCTTGGTAGTTAGGAATAGTGTCATGGACCACCACATCTGGCAACCCCTAGTTTTTCGTAAATAAGGCAAGACCATTCCAATCTGCAGATATCATGGTATTCTTTTTTTTTTTTTTTTTTTTTTTTTTTGTCTTTTTCCTTTTTATCAGTACCGGGGATCGAACTCACAACTGCCTGCAAGGCAGGCACTTATGCCGCTGAGCTAAACCTTCAGCCCCTATCCTGGTACTCTTAACTATTGGATTAGGGCAGATGGCTCAGTAATTTCAAGTTCCTAGTGAACTGGAGAAACAAGGGCAGCTCTTCATTACAGATGTCCTCCATCCGTGTATAGAGTTATTTCAGAGAAAAGCAGTGCAGACTACATTTTTCCAGCGCGCCTTGCATTTAGGTACATGACTAATCTTCTCCAGTGGGATATAGGCGGAGGGGTGTGTGCTGAATCCAGGACAAAGTGGCTAAGAAGTATGCATGCTCGCCTCTTTCTCTCCCATCTGCCACTCGAATGCCAGAGCCAGGGTGGCCTTGGCACCATATACTGCATGTTGCCGAGTCTTAGTCAACTTGACTGCACGGGACACATGCTGAACTCACTTTTAGTGTATCTCGGCATCGTGATTCAGGATTTCTCTATCGCAGCAGTCAGCATGACTTAGTTAATGCACCACTAACTTGGGTTCATGATTATATCCACCAAACAGATACACTGTTGTTCACGCAGAAGATGCACAAAGACCATCTGACTCCAGCTGGCTCAGCGTGTCTGAAAGTCTCTGTTCATCTCATTAATGGATTATGCCCTGCCTGTTCCAAAAAAAGGGCTTCGAGGTGGTTTCCACTACAGCCTCA